GTGCTTGCCAGCTCCCAGAGCCGGGCTGAGCTGGGGGCGCCTATGGGTGGGTTTCAGGTCTCCCCGAGAGCTTCTGCCACTCAGCCTGCCTTCCCTGGGCCACATGCGGCAGCTGGGTGATAGAGGAGGGGGCCTTGCTATTTAAAGGGAATCAAGCTGTCAGCAGGACATAAATATTCATAGGGGGAGGTTAGAACTTGAGTCCCTAAAACCTTGATTTGTGTCCGCCAGTTTAAGCCTCATTAAAAAGTGGCAAATGAAAGTGGAGCTCTTCAGTGGAACTGACAATAACCGGGCTTGTTTGGATAAAGGCCTCTGGCTGCCAGCTCCGCAGGCCCTGCCCATGGCATATAGGCAGACTGACTGGCCCACTAGCTGCGTGCCAACCTTAATTGTAAGATTTTGCTTAGCATGGCTTTCTGGCCTCACTTTAGCCAGTACCACTTGTTTGGGCACCTGGGAGCCTTCCAGGGGTGTTCACGGATAACCCCCAACCTACTGCCTCCCTGAGTGATGCACAGAGCAGGGGCTGGCCCCAGGGGTGGCTGGGAGGCCGCCAACCTAGGACTAAGATCCTTAGAGCTGCACGGGCTATTCTGCAAGGGGCATGGTCTGTGTGCACTTGCTGCTTCTGTGAGCATGAGGAGGGGACGTCAGACTTCATGTGCTACCCAAAGCCACAACCGCTGGTCCCTAGTGGAATCTGCATCATCAACTACCGTGTAGATTCTGATGCAGTCAATCCAGGGTGGCAATGCAAATGCGCCACAGGAGGCTGACGGCTTTGGGTTTGAAGCCCTGGTCTCCAGTCCCTCAGCCCAACTCCTCCCTCCACAACTGGAGAGCACTGTGGGCCAGCCTCAGGGTGGGCACCCAGAGGCCAACAGGGCAGATGTGAACTAGACTGGATTTGTTGTGGGCTGCTACTTTACCTTTGGGGCCCCTGACATGCACAAGCGGACAACAGGTGATGCTCTGTTTCCTGAGGATGAAGGGCGATTTCCAGGAGAGGGAGGGAGGTACCCCTCTAGCCAAGGGCAGAACCAAAAGCCTCTTGGAGATAGAGCTTTGAACTGTTTGGAACTCAGCGTGGAGTTTGGTGCTTAATTGGTTCAACATCATGGGTGCATGAGTGTCAGGTGTCCTATGGAGCCGTGCTGGCTAGTCCTGCTCCTCCGGCCCCAGTAACCATCATACGGGATCTCTTCTTCCCTGACCCTGGCTGCCGGCTGCTCTGCCCTGCAGGGCAGCTTCCAGGAAACCTGCAGCCTCCCCAGACAGACCTCAGCTCTTTCCCAGGCAGGCCCTCCCTTTGGTGCACATTAGCAGGGAAATGACACAATTAACTAGGCAGTTAACTCTAGGCTCTGCAGTGGCTCCCTCCCACGGGCTTTGGTGAGGAGCTGGAGGTGGCAGAGGGCTGGGTGGGCTATGAGGAAGTGGCTGACACCCAGTAGTCAAAATGGGAAGCAAGAAGACCCCAACCATAGGCTTAGAATGCAACCTCTGAGGCCCAGCCTCCTGCCTTCGCCAAGCCCATCATCTCTGCAGGGGCCACTCAGGAAGGAGAAGAGACAGATCATCCCAGCCAGGGCTCCTGTTCTCCCCTGTGGCATGGAGGTCATGTTTCCTATCCTTCCCAGGGACACAGGGGATAAGGGAAGCCAGCGATAAGAAAGCAGGGCTGGCAAAGCCCCCCTAAGCCTGCCCCAGCTATGCTCAGTGCCCACCAACAGGGTGAGGTGGACTACAAACAGCCGGGTCCAGAGAGGTGGCCAATTAGCCAAGCGCTCTGAGCCTGAGTCAGAGACCCAAGGCAAGAGCCCGGCTCGGACAACTAGTCCAGTGTCCCGTTT